ACAGTACAGCGGATGATGCTTGGAATGAACTGAAGGACAAAATTAATTGCTTCATGCAATCAGCATCGAAGGTTGTACCATTACGGGCATGGCGCCGGACCAATAGATGGATCCGAAGCAGAACACGTGAATGGATTAACAAAAGAGATGAAATCTGCATACAACATTCGCCAAGCATATGTGATATCACATGGCAGCATTACAAAGCAAACAAAAACTACTGCACGTCACGCATTAGAGTCGATAAATACGAATAGCAGGAGATCACGGTGCCGAATTTTACGAGGAACACCAAACTACCATACAGATTTGTGAATGACAAAAGGAAGGATAAGCCCGGAATACCACTAATGACGGCCAGTGGCGTAACAACTACTGCTGTGGATGCAGCGAACGCTCTACTCCTGCAGTTTGGCTCGATAGCTACAAATACCATGCAACCTTCGCCCTATCAACCAACAAATTTCGTCGACTTATCCAGCGTCATCTTTAGTCTAGCAGCTGTTGCAAGCACAATACAATATCTCCGAGAGTACAGTGCCCCTGGAATGGCAATGATCTGCACAAAAGTACTTTAAACCTCTGCTCCCATCATAGCAGTACAACTTGCAACCTTTTTCCGGGGTCTGCTTGACTCCTATACACTACCATCTGAGTAGAAAAATGGAATTATCACTCCAATATACGAAGGAGGTATGCGATCGGATCTTGCCAAATAACCAGCTATTGCTCTCCTTCCTGTTTCATCAAAACTGACGTAATCGGTTTTCGCAGAATAACTGGCGGGACACTTTGATAGTCTACAAATAAGTTGTAATGCCCATCATGGTTTCAGACGCAGACGATCTTGTCTCACCAGTTTGCTGCTTACTCGGGAAAAATACACCCTGGTGGTTGATGAAGGAGTCCCCATAGATGTGATTTAGTTGGATTTTTCTAAAGCTTTCCACAGGGTCAATCACTTCTTTCTACTTTAAAAGCTTGCTTCCTACAGTACCAACTGTTCCTTGCTCACCTGATTAGAAGACCATTTACACGACAGAGCAAGCAAGGTAAAAGTAGCGGACACTGCGAGCCTGTGCGTCTCCAGTGGTGTACCAAAAGCATCCGTCCTCGCTCCGCTACTGCTTGTAGTCTACCTTAATGACCTTCTATTAGACATTCTATTCCTGATGCAAATAATTGCAAACGATGCTAAATATGGAGAGCAATTCGATCAGCATCTGACCGTGTATACCTCCGGGAAGGTTTGACTCGGATTAACAAACGGGCAGAAAAGAACCAGCTCCTACAGAACCCTGCAAAGTGCCACCTGCTGACGGTGCGCAGCAGCTTCGTCAACACATACTTTGGGGGCAACACGTCCTGCAACCAGTGATTAGTGAACGCGACTTAGGTATACTAGTGCAGGATAGTATTGGAAATTCGCTCCAATGCTCAAAAACAGCAAGTGGGGCGAACTTGAACTTGAGATTTTTGAGGCGAGATCTCGGCACTTTTGATCGACCGCCAGTACCAAGGTTGATTAAATCCTATGTTCGCCCTCACGTTGAATATGCAACTCAGGCACGGTGTCCGTGTTTAAAACGAGACATTCGTCTATTGGAACAACCCCAAAAATAACCAAAATGATAACGCGTGGACTATCCGGTCTATGTTACGAACTGCGTCTTCGTGTACTCGGTGTGTTCTCATCAGAATACCGACAGTTTCGCGGATATCTTACTCTCACATACCGGATACTAACTGAAAGCGAGCATCCATATCATTGTTGACCCTAGCTTCTTTCAAGGAAGGCCGAGGCAACCACCTGAAAATAATGAAGCAAACCACCCATCCGAATAGTAGAAAGTATTTTACTCACTTAGCATCTGTTCACACTGGAATGCACTACCAATATATGTGGTGGACAAACCAGACATGAAGACGTTCGAAAGACTCCTAGGCTTTCCTCTTAGTGATAAACGCTACACAATGGTTTAACCACTGATACTTCACGTTCTACGTTGGAACATTTTGATGTTAATTTTCTTTTGCATATCCATCCAGTGAGTCTTGTAAAGTTCTGCTTTTTATCCCATCATACACTATCAAACAATTGAGGTATCCAAACAATTACGTCTCGACGACTCTTCTAATCTTACACACTTGCTTATTCACTACAGGAAGTTGAATCACATATTATTGCTATATATCTAAGATGCGTGTACAAATTTCCGCAAAAGTTTTAAGAAAGACTATTTAAGTAATTAATACGAGCCGGTATCAACTGACATTTAACTGTTTCATACATTGTCCCATTTACCGAATTGACTAAATACTAATTGCGTAAATTAAAGAGCTAGGAGATAAGCATTTGTTCTATTCCATCGACATATTTTCAGGAAAACACACGGATTAAAGTATTACGTTGACGCACACGGTCAGTGTAGTTCGGCTGTGTAGTGTTTTATTCAGATGCCATGCGTTTGGGACATGTTATCCATAAAGTAAGCGTCTAGGAATTATATAAATCCCGGCGCAGATTTCGCTTTCGCCATTATCTCAGGCAAACTGTTTTGTTATTTCCCCACTGTAAGCTCAAAGCAGAGAGTGGGAGCTTTCCGCGTTGACTCTGGCAACAATTGCTTGCACCGATTTACTCGAGTACTGCTATGGGGACACAAGTGTAGTAGCGGCGCCACCATAGGATAATCAGATGTAATATCCTGTTGGTCATGATGAGATCCACTCGAAGTCGACGATACAACACATTTTATAGGCTCAGACGCCTGCAACAGTCTTCCTACGTCATCCCACCACAAAATGGAGCTAAGCAGGGTATCCACATTTTTAAAGCGTTCCAGTCTGGTCACCCCCGTCTAAGGGTGATCAGAAAATAGGTGGGTTGGACCTAGTCGAGCATTGGCCTTACAAATGACGAGAAGAGGTGAGTAGCAATCGCTTCAGACGGAGTGCAGAAGCTGCGTTTGTGTCTTAAAAGCAGGCGCAGTCCGTCTACAAATAGATTATTTGGGTTGTCCATGAAATTCAAATCGTAGTGTAAGAGTACGACTAGGTTTTATATGGAATGCGTATTATGCAGCAGCTGGCCGGCGAGGGTGACTTTCGGCCGTTATCACACTTTCGTATACTTGTTAATAAAGAGTTGACTTAATTGACTGACAAACCAACAACTGCGACCACATGGGCGGAGAGTCAAAATCATGCTAAAGTACGTTGCGGTCGTTAGGAGCATTATTTACTCTCCACAGACTCAGATCGTCTACGAACACGACACAATAAAATCGAGAAAGCTGAAATACTTCGTTGATATGAATTAAGAGCAAAATGTACCCCAATACCGTACCTTCGGAGTAGATTACTAATGGGAGGTTATTGAGCAATGAGACTATCATCCACTTGTACACTTTACTTAATTCAAATAACTCGGACATTGATCTACCAATGCAGTATGTCATAAGCTTGCATAGGAAGGACACGTGTTTTGCCTTGTCGAGTGATTTAGTAAAGCAATGTAGAGGAGGTTGATCGATTTCGCTTTGTTAAATATTTGTAACCAGTCCCAACACCTCACCAGAAATCTGGCGATGTATGAGTGGTCATTCATAAAAAATGCCGTTGTGTGTAGTTCCGGAGTTCTTTAGAGTTTAGCAGCCTCAACAGACCCTTCTTCAAAATCTCTACGTGCCGTTTGGTCCGAAAGCATTAAGACAGATTGGTCGGTAATTCATTAGTTTGTTTGGGTCAATAAAACCCCTGAATTGTCTTCAGTACTCAGAGTTTCCAGTCGCTCGATAAAGAAATCTCGGACAGCGGCCAGTGGAAAGATATGCCACGTCAGATAAAGTGATGGCTGATGGAGGCTTGGGAATCAGTAAGTTGTGGAAATTAGGACGGTAGGCTTCGTATCTTAAAGACCGGCTATTAGATCCTGGACGTTTATAAACTGCAGCCCACCATGTTAAGTTGGTTTCAACTGCACAATTCGAACACAAGGCAGAAGCACGACTGGTTGCAAATACGGAAGCAAATGGACCCCAAATGCAACTCACTCAGTGCTAGGAATTTTGGGGCTGCTTGTGAGAGCTCTCTAACGATGCTTTGTCAGCTGCAGGTATCAGACGTCGCTTCACAAAAACAAAGATACACTTAGGGTGCGTCTTCTCCGCAGAGGCAAGCTATTCTTTGAATTGCACAGTGAAATGCATCCAGATGGGTTATGCATAACACAAAGGAATCTCAAAACGAGGGTGCCTAGATGACCCCCTGCGTATTCAACGTCGACTCAGTCGGCATATTACATTATATATCTCATAGCTTAACGCTTATTAGAATTATGGTTGTTAGAATGCATATTTGCACATGGCTAGGAAGATAGCGAAGCTTTTATATTTCTAGACTTAAATAACTTAAGCTAATTCATCTGCTAAGTCTATGACACAGCCTCAGAGAGGCATGCCCTGTTTGATCTATGAGATACAGGAATGACACTAGGGATGTATGAGTTCCCTCTCTGGTAAACTTGTTTTAAAACGGCAGACAGTTGAGACATGATATCTGCCAAAGCTCGTTTAATCTACTAGCATTAACTTAAGGCACCATAATGTAGCGGCGTTCAGCAAACATTTCCATTCAGTCTTATCTGTCCATAGTTTCTTGCATATGCATGAGAGCGATTTATGTTACTTAGGTCTTGTGTTTTTCCACTGTACAATGGCCTGAGGTTATCTTAGTCTGGTTCATGTGTGAAACCCAATTGGATAAACGGTAGACAGAAAACAAGAGACTGAAACTAATTTAGCTTAAGAGCAGCGCACCAAGTTGACCCAAATGTGAAGCACATAAAATAGCCAGAAAGAACATTTTGATGCAGTTGTCACCCCAGAAAGTGAGTTCTATAGTACTATTTTTCTTGACCTTATTCCGTGCATAGTCCAATTCACCTCAAGACCAACAGTAATAAAAGTTGTCGTCTACTTTACCAGTATGATCATTTTTGAAAATGGTGTTGATCAACCCACAAATCTCTTCATTTCATGGTGCTTTGTTCAGTAGACATCATTCAACTTTGTGAGTGCTGGTAAGTCAAATTACTTTTATTTGCCGAATAGCTGTATTGCGCCAACATGTAGCTAAGGGATAGGTATAACAACTACTTCTGAAACACAGCTTATCTCCCAGTGTTGGTGGAAAAGCTCAGTCGGCCTAACTGCTTTCAATCGACAGAACAGAAACGGTCTAAAATCCAAACGCATCCATCTTGGTGTATTTATTCACCTTGTAAAGAGTGAGGTGAATGCTCATGTTTATACATTTACGAATAGGTATAAATAAATCAGCTCTTCCCACTTCAGAGTGACTCTGAAAAGAACGTACAACGCAAAAGTCACTTGCGGCACTCGGTATTTTACGTTGTAAACAATAATGCAGACCCACAGTAGAAAATAGACAGTGTTGGTAAGCGCGCAGTATATTGTTGCCTATTCGAAACTATCTTCCGTTGCGCGTAGGACAAAGTTGTTAACTAGGCGACATGAATAATCTGAGGCGCAAGGTAAATCCCATGTTACCTATAGGTTTTTTAACGGGTCTGCTTTGCACTGGCACGCCTAGCTATATATCTTAAACTGAGTTAGGCAGAGACCTAACAATCCCATCTGAGTTTGTCACAAATTTTTATATAGCAGTTATTTCTGACGCTTTTGAAGTTAAAACTATTCTTGTCTTGAGTGGATTTCAAAAGGCATCAGGAATTTAACGCCTAGCTAAGGATTCTGAAAAGATGAATAATTTTTTAAACCAAATACTAAAACGACAGATCGACGCAGTCATCTGAGAGGAATCTAACATTGGATAAGCTAGAGGTGTCTTTCACACTGACAGAATTTGCTAACATTACCTCTCAATTATAAATCTCCCCTGCCATAACTTATTGATAAACTTATTAGAATACTCAGATATTTTTAAACAGCGTTTTCTATGGATTCCGATTACCCAGATAATTGCTTTTTTAGGAGGATTTCGCTGTCTCTGTAAATGTTTTAACTCAAAATATTTAAATTTTGGTTGGCTATAAATTCATGTGCCACTAGCTTAGACGTGTTACCATAAATGATTTGAATTCAAGTCGCAGTGAGACGAAATTAGCAGATATCAACGATTCGTATTCCTTAATCCACGCCAATACAGTAATACCAACATATATACAACACGACGTTTAAGTTACAACCAAAGAAATTGGAGACAAATAATGTTTGCAATTGTGCTGCTCCATTGCAGGCAGCCATTTCTCTTTAAAAACTGCAAAGTAGCATAAATGTACAACGATTGTTCTTTCTTGCTATATTGAAGTGTTCATAGATATCAACGACCGCTTCCTGCGTTTTACAAAGTTGCGCTGATCAGCCTGGGTTAATCCCGCGAGCTGTATGAACAAACATTATTTCTCTTGAAATCCTTGGTGATACTCAGAGATGATGCAGTCCTCATGAATTCAGAGAGATTCAGATACAAACGAGCAGGATGAATTGGTGGTAAACTCCTAAATGACCTCGATTGTAACCCATGTACCTAAGGCAGAGGGGCTACGCGTAGCAAGACGTTCGTTAAATGAGGATAACACTCTGAGTAATCAAAACAGTGTGGCAGTTGACAAAGCATTCGACTGTATGCTATCCTGTTTTAACAAATCATACTACACTTTTCAGTCGGTTACACTGTCAGGCCAAATGCCTCGCCATTGGATAGTAATTATCCCATGTGGTAGTGGACTTGTATTTGAAAGACTTCGAAAACACGAGGTTAATAAGATTCACTAACTCACGGGAGTTTGGTGATACATGTCTAAAACCAAAACTAATTCATTAAGAACGCAACAACGGCGAGTTTCCTGAATAGTTAATCTCTATTAATGAGATGATACATCAGGCTATTGAATTAGAGTCTTGTTGTAGTATAACACTATTTATTGACTGCCTAGTTTGCAACTAGGGGACTTTTATTGACGAGCTGACAACTACTGATACGGCACTTCACAACATTTCAATTCATGCGAAACTCATTTACACTGTGTTGTCTCATCGCTCTTCTATGGGGCACAAACTTAGAGCGACCTGTTAGGAAATATAAAAACGTCTCTTAGAAAAAGGATACGAGGCAAACTATTAGATTCGGTTAACCATGGCGTTCAGTCAAACGACAGCTACATAAAGTGCTAAAGCAACTGTCAGGACTAAAACCCGAGTGGATATGGACGGTATGAATTCCGTACGAGGAAGAAACCTTGGAGGCAATTTAGATGGAGAATATAAGGGGATCGTTCAGCTGGAACAGCCACTACCTTCAACGCTGATGCACATGAAATGTCCCTTTCCCAAGGACAGGGCAAGAATTTGTGTCCATAAGACCGCGCACGTGTATATATTAGCTAAGCCACAAAACAGCTACGCATACAAATTTTCAGAGACTAGAAAGCTCAGTTCACGACCATCGATGAACTAATTTGATTAAGGGGTAACAATTAGTTACCAGGACATGGCTGCACTGCAGTTGACGCGGATCACCAGAGTGACTTAGGCAATGTAAAGTTTCTAAGGTTATATATTTCAGCAACGCTCCAACGATAGATTGCCAACAACCGCTTGAACAGGATAGAGGAGGTGGAACTAGAGTGCATGGCAAGCAATCTTAAACCTGCAAGTCTGACAACTGTCATATGCGAGGATCCGGTATGAAATTGCAATTCGACTTCCCACCTCCACTATCTGGAGCTTATCTGTTAAGGTCACTTGGAATACATAGATTGTTACCACTGTCACTGGCAACACTTGAAAAGACATTGCAACTGTGACTGCAATAACTCCCTGAAGCATTTCTCTATTATCGCAATTATTGCATTAATTCGCAGTATAAAACGCCGTACCAATCATATAACGAATACTGAGAATCATGAGCGAGAAGATACGAAGCTGTGTTGCTTCATCGTAGGTGATTCGGGCACATGCGCAAAATCAGGTCGCCGATTCCTACGCAGTGGCATCATACGGCAGCTGCACTGCATTTTATCCGGGTGTGAACCCATCCCTATATCTGTAATCTCCAAAGTGGGGGTCCATGAACTTCACAAATTCCGATACCGGTTTCGCATCTGCTAGCATCTCCAGCAACATGTTCCAAGATTTCACTACTCGGCGCTCGGAGCACAGATGATGAGCGATACGCTTTGAATCCGGTACCAGTGGTTTGTATCGGTGTGCGCAAGTGCTGCTTGGTGCGCGAACGTATAGCAGCGGCTTCAACATAGGGAGTTGATCAAAGTGCAATATTCGGAGCGTCATTATGATGTCAACTTGAAACCGACGGTATTACAGGGTATAAAGGCATGGTCACCTACATCGGTGCTAGTACGACATACCCAGTAAACTGGGGATGAGTAGGGTACCTACATGCTGGACCCGTTTCAGTTTCTGCAACTCACCTACTGTGAACGGACATTACGTGGGTGAGCCTTAATAAACACCGAGGTTATCATGCGAAATACGGGTGGACTTCTCTTCAGACCAAGTGAAGCAGCTGCGTCAAAGTGCCTAAAGCAGGTGTAGTATATTGGCGTGCGGTCTGTTCTTATTATCAGCGGACATCAGGTCACAACCTGAGAGTGCGCCTAGTTCCTTTACTGAACTGTTTGGATGCAGCGGATAGCCGTCCAGAGTGTACAGATACCCAGTACCATCCCTCTCCAAACTCATAAAGAAGGACTTGGTTTGGTTGACCGATAGGCCAACTTCTGGAGACCTCCGGGATAAGGGGTCGAGGTCCTGTTGAAGGACTTCACAGTCGTCGAAGAACCAACAACCCACCAAATTGTCAAATCCTCAAATCGTCTGCAAACACTGCGCAAGGTGATCGAAGAAGCTGAGGAGCTTCGTTAATGTTGATCAGGAAGAAAATTAGTTCCAGCGCCGTGTCGAGTACACCGCTGCGAGGTTAGCGGTAATCTCCTGCTTACTTCAACCGCCGACCTGATGGGTCAGGAAACTGAGTGCATATGGCTACTAAACACTGACCAACCTAGTTTAAGTGGCGCTGAAGTTGCAAAAAGCATCACCCAGCATCGTATCGTTGAGACGGGTAAACCATCGCACCACGTTGCGATCCAGTCTTTTCGCGATGAATTGATGCGTGCGGCGGAAAAGCGTCGAGCACCAAGCAATGCCATCCCACCGTCGAGAAAATGCTTGTTGCTCGTGTTATAGGTCAGTCGGGCTATGAGCTCATAACCAGTAAATCTGTTGTCCGTCAAGGCTGTGTTGAGGAAAGAGGTCATTAAACTTGCTCTAACCAGAAGAGGATTTGATTGTGAGAATGAGATACCCATCTACCTTTCTGATACTACTGCCTTTGAACGCACTTAAAAATACCACCCAGCGCAGATCAGTGGCTCACGTTGGTATGCAAACGATCACCCCACGATAAAGGTCAGTATGTTTGCGACATATGTTGGAACATCGTTACTTGTAAAGTAGACAAGCGATGGCTGTGTTCATTGATATTAGAAGAGCGTTCAATTCAGTTGACAACTGTACTCTCCATAGCCCATTTGACGGGGAAGGGTATGCCCGTCCGGTAGGTGGAGAATGTTCGTAGCCTATTGTCGAACACCACGGATCACGTCATGTCAGCGTACTGATTCATTCGTTTCCATGAGACTTTTGCGTTCAAAGCGAAATCTTGTCAACAAATGTACCAACGTATTGCTTCAAAATCTCTTCAACCTCTTGCGCATTTGGCCAGCTATACGAATATGGCATCATATCTGTCCTCAACCCTTGTTTCTATTTTGGTTCCGTTACACTCTAAATGTTCTTACATATGTTCCCGGTTTTATATTGGTACGGACCAAGCATTATGAAATGTTAACATCTGCTCGTTTTCGTTTAGTTGCGGTTTCATTCAAAATACTAAAGGATCTACGTGTTTCCAAATAGGACTAAGCCTCAATGAAGTAAATAAACTTAAATACAAATGTCAACTGCTTATACCGACATTTCGTTAATAGAATGCGCCACATGATTTGAATGA